GGCTGAGCTCAGCAGCAGCTGTTCTGAGCCTGACTCTTCCTCTGCAAGTCCACCGTGTTGGTGTCAGTGCTGATGAGGTGACCATCTCTGTCATCTGTCATCTGAATGCGACGCACTGCCTCCTCAAAGGCCGACGCTACATTCGTAGCGTCCCTGGCGCTCGTCTCAAAGTACGGGTGTCCGCCGTTTTCGCGACACCACTTTCGAGCGTCCTCCCCAGACACCTGACGCTCAGGGATATCCAGTTTGTTTCCCAGCACCACAAAGGGGAAGCTGTCGGGGTCCTTTATGTCAGCATAGTAAGTAAACTCCTTCTTCCAGTTCGCCAGGTTTTGGAAACTCTGTCCGTCGTCCAGGCTGAAGGTGAGCAGGCAGCAGTCGGAGCCGCGGTAGAACGGCGTGCGGAGGCTGCGGAAACGCTCCTGACCCGCCGTGTCCCAGATCTGCAGGGTGACACGGCGCCCGTCCACCTCCAGCTCTTTGTTCAGGAACTCCACGCCTATGGTGTGGAAGAGGTGCGAGTCGAACTTGTTGGTGACGTATCGGTTCATGAGTGACGATTTGCCCACGCCACCGTCCCCCAGAAGGATCACCTTTAAGAGAGCGGATTTGGACATCATGAAGCCTGGTGCTTTGGACTGACTACTCTGAGCAAGGAGACCGCACGGGACGGGCGAACGATGAAGGAAGCAGTTTGACCTGCAGAGGAAAAAAGTCACGATCAACTCAAAGAATCGTTTTAAATATGGAAATGTTCAAACAAAAGAAAATAAAAACAGATCTATTTATTTTACTTAAGTTCCAAATGTTCATGGTAATATGATGAATGAAGGTGGTCATACCAAATATTCACCCTCAAGCTGGTTGGAATTGCACATGCTCTGTTTGTGCCTCATCTACTGTAATCGCATGTATGTTTGCATCAATTCAGTAAAACGCCCCATTTTCCTAGAGAAACTTTCACAGCACTGCACAATGATATAAAAACGAGACAAACAGACGAATTCGTTCGGCTCTGCACTGCAGTATTAGTACTCTACCAGTATATATGTGCAAAAGTGGGGTACACAATGTAGCTCCAACAGCAGGCGGAGGCAAAATACCTTCATTTAAGGTCATAAGTACAAAAGTATGTTATTGAATGCGCTTCAGAAACATTGTGTTCAAGAAGCCATTCAGCTAAACAGTAAATAAAGGTAAGAATTATGAGGAAGCATGAGAATGAGGAAGGATGAGGCTACCTGCAGGGTGTGGTTGTTTGCTCCACAACACGCTGCAAGGTTCAAAACACTTCCAGTTAGTGACCTTGTGCTAAACAATACTCCCAGTGACATTAATTCCCATTTTTAGCTGCACAATTTATGTTTAAACAGGAACTATTGAAATGATTTCATATTGTTATTCTTGGATTCTACTAAAGTAGCTTTGCATGATTTCAGCGTTCAGAATAATCCTCATTTATCTGATATAGGGGCTTGGAGCAGCCTCTCAGTTCATCTTCTGTGTCCTCTTGTTCTGATTGGCTGCCCATCATAGATTCGAGTTTTGTGAAATTTAGATGTAAAAGAAGTCATATGTGAAAAATGCTAACAGGCACTGCACGTTTACAGTTTTCTAATCAAGAGTTCTTTAAATAATCGAGGAAATAAACTTGCAGTTCAATTATTAAAGAACAAAAGGTGAATCTCACACAAAAAAAACTTGGGTTACTCATAAATTACTAAAGAGAAAGCCGAACCCTGGGGTGTGCATTGCTGTTGGATTCAACACTATCAATCCTGCAAATAAGAGAATATCGTCGATAAATCGATGCACATATGAGCTGGAAACAGCAGCTGAACCAAAGGAGAAGGAAAATTTGTCACATTTGCTTTCTTTGTTTTTCTGTATGAGCATCTTCCACACATTGACACGTTGCTTTACAAATACTTTGAGATCAGATGAACTGTGGGTTGCACGGTCACAACAAAGGAAGGTCCAAATCCATCCTCTGTGGCCTTTCTGTGTGGGTTCTCTCTCAGCACTGTGGCTTCCTCCCACAGTCCCAAAACAATCACGTTAGACTAACTGGTGACTCTAAACTGGCTGTAGCTGTGGATATGATCATGACAGTGGTTTGATCTGTGACAGACTGACAACCTGCCTGCGTATCACAGCTGGAGCAGACTCCTACCACAACCCTGAATTGGAGAAGTGGAAGAAAATGGATCATTAAAACTTCTCCAAGTTCTTTTGTGGCCTTCAAGTATTATTTGCATGATTTCCAACTTGGACCACGTGAACATCTGATTCAAGTCAGTAGACTAGCTAATCCTATTAAACCACCACAGCCCCCTCATTACTCTATGCAACAAATACACTTGCTACTATACCATGTGCACAATGTTGTGCATGAAATGACCCCTGCTAAACATCACATGGACACCGATCACAGGACTGCTGAGTCATTCACAAGAGAGTTTTCCTCACCGTTACTTCTGCACATCGATCACTTCAGCATCAGCTGCCTGTAAGACAGACAGAGAGTCGCAGATCGTGAAGTGGCCAAGGGTTTAACCCACGAAGGCTCAGCGGCAAAGACAAAAAGCAGCCTAATGAGGATTTAAGTGCAAATGTAATCCTGTCCCACACACTGGCATACTTTTCATGCACCTTCAGGATAACAGTCTTCAGGATCATCTCTGAGGCAAACGTGGGCACTCTAACGGCTTTGTTACACGAACACCATCACCTCATCTATCACAGCCACGGTGAGACTGCACCGCCGCATTACTCACACAGGTACCAATCCTTATGTTCTACGTTTGATGTCATGCATGCAGTGGGTTTCAGTGGCTGAAACACTCCTTCAGCGTAATACAGTCTGTCCTCAAATCCTTTTTACAATGCTACCATTTTGTTTGATTATTCTAAAAGTACACTAATTATCATTTGTAGTTTTCTGCAGGATTTTGATCCTTTGACTGTCAAGAGAACAAATATGGTAGTTCAACCACTGCAGAGACGACAGAGACACAGAAAAGGCGGCATGAACACAACAGGGGACACAGCAGAGGAGGAAGGAGCAAAGAGAAACATTTAAGATTTCATAAAGCACACGTGAGACACATAAAGTGGAAAAAGTGGGCGGTTTTGACTGGTTTAACGCTCAGTTTCACTTCACTACAAAGTCTATTGTGACTTCTGCCTTCTCCACACACGGGGGTGAAGTAAAGGAACCAAAACAGCCCATGCTGCTGTTCCACATGTCCATGATGCTGCTTCCAGGTGACGGTGCTTGCTAACGGCTCTAAATAACCATGACTGTGACTTTAAGTTATTGCTCAGACACGTTTCTGAGCATTGTTATATAATATGTCCTACATGTAAAAATCACGTGCTGTCTGCAACAGTTTAGGGGAAGAACGGACTAAACCCACCGCTCCATAGGAAAGTTTGAGTTGCAGAGTCACCAGCGCTGAAAAATAGGCTGAAGGACCAAAGTGGGGCAAATAATGTCTTTGCAATTAAAACTTTAAGCACAGAGCTGCTCAAAGAACCTGTGACAGTTCTAAAAGCAGCAATGCAGCAGAAAAAAGAAACGGGAAAGAACCCCCACACACACACACACAGTCACTCACTCAAGAGTCATGTGCTTCATTCAGCAGGATACAATTTGAAGAGAGGGCTGCTATGCGTCTGTGTGTGTCTGTGTGTGTGCGCGTCTTTATTTTTCCTCCATGAAAATGTGCGTTTCCTCCCAATGTTGCACTTCTGAGCCTTCAAAATAAAACAACCTTGTATCCTGCATCTTCAAATCAAAGCAGCATCCATTATGCTCAGTCAGCAGGGTAATCATCAGCCGTGAGTCACGGCAGCACAGGCCGTTCAGGTGACACACCTCAGCTGAGGGAGAGCTAATAATTGACAGTATTATATCCGTAAACAACACGAAGAGCTGAAACAGCTGCAGCCACATGTGATACCAGTTAAGCCCTCTCAGACAGCTGGCTGTGTGTAGGCTGTAAACGTCGCCGTGAGAGGCACAGGAAGCGTTTGCACTATAAGTTACTACATTATAATGACAGCACAGAGTCAGCATTCTGGGGCTTTCCAGCTGGCAAACACGCACTAGATCCATTTTCGGACACGCAGGAAACCTCGAGTAACGCTTATGTTTTTCATAGTTTCTTTATTATTATTATTATTATTATTATTATTATTATGATGATGATGATGATGATGATGATGATGATGATGATGAATAATGTTGTCATTTGTACCACTTGCTGACAAAACAGCATTAAACAGTTAAAGGAAACACCTCGATGAAACAGCCATACACTCTAAGTTTGCTTTCAAATTAGGTGTTCATCACTGCAGAATCGGCGCACATGACGTATGAAAATGTTATTATTGTTACGCGTATTTAGTCGACGTCAAAATCTGGAGACAAATCCTTTTAAAGAGAAGTCTGAGCTTGTCCGATAATGGAAGCCTCTCGTAAAACTGTTGCTGTCCGATAATGGGCGCGCTGGTAGTTGCACATTCCCGACTTTCCTAATCCAATTAAACCCACAGAAAGTTGGTATTTTCGCGGTTGAAATTGAACTTTTCGCCTTTCGGTAACCGTACCTGTCGATGTGCCAATCGGTGCTGGATTCTAGCGGTTAAATTCCTCCCGTTTTCCCCGATGGGCCGCTGCTGATAGCCGGTGACATGGCGCTGAGGTGTCCCTGCCACTGCTCTCTGGCCCCGCAGCTGCGGATGACGCTCATATGACCCGGCAGGGGCTGTCACGCCTCCCGTCACCAGGCGCGTTCCTGGATCAAACCGACGCATCCACAGTCTAGTGTGAGTTTCTCACTGTGAAGAAATGAAAGTGAAATATACAGTTGGCAATGTGTGTGTGTGTGTGTGTGTGGGGGGGGGGGGGGGGGTTTGAAATAGACACTGCGATCCTCCAAAGTGTTCCAGAATAAGCCAGAAAATGACAGAAAGCATAAGAAAATCAAAGATTTCACAGTTTTATTGAATTATATTAAGATTTTTGTCTTGTTTTTGTTTCGTTAAATACACGTTTACTACTTCAGGCCTCTACAAACCACCACTATGACATGTTTGTATTAAGAGGTTTTAAGCAGATATGAATCGTTTGAAGGGATCATAATCCACAAACTGCAACACCGTCCCTCCTGCACTACAACAACAAGTGCAAATATTAAACATTTATGCACCTCTGTAGGTTTATTCGTCTGCAGAAGTAAAGAGCTCAGACTAATGTTTTGCAAATATGTACGAGAAGGAAAGGAGGTACAGCTGTGGTAAGAAGCTTACATACACTCTTCATGAGTCACATGGCCATTCTGGGCTTTTAATTATTCGTGGGGCTGTTGAATGATTGTACTACACACATGTTTGATGAGTTTAGAAAACTAAAACTGGGTGCAAAAGTTCAAATTTATTTTGGATTTTCTCTAAGCCACACAGGGTCAAAAGTATAAACACACACACTCATATTTGGTTGTTGCTTTGCCAGTTGTACTTCAACCAGATGCTTTTCATAGCCATTAACAATCTTTGGGTATAATTCTGTATATTTTATTAATAATTCTTCCCAGAGGAGTGGAGTTCATTTAAATTGGTTGGTTTCTTTGCACAGCACTGGCTTTTAGTCATAGTCCACACATTTTTAGGACTGAGGTCAGGACTTTGAGAATACCTAAGATTAATGTTAGCCTGCTCTATCAATTTCAAAGCGAAATTTGATAAACTTGATGTGTGTTTGGGATTATTGTCCTGCTGAAACACCCGACTGTGTCCAAGTTCCAATTTGAGGTTTACTTGAAGAATTTGGAGGTAATAATCCTCCTTCTTCATTATTGCATCCACCTTGTGCTGTATACAGAACCACTGGCAGCAAATCAGCCCAAGAACATGATGCTACCACCACCAAAACATACATCATCGGCTTGTCCATGTGAGCAACTGTTAAATTTCATTTGACCTTAACAGTGTCAATTTTGGACCAGGGGATAGAACTCACTTTACCTTGGACAGTGACACTGGTGTTCCAGGATTTTCCAGTCCATTTCAGGCTTGAGCCTTGGTGGTTCCTGGGCTGTTCTGGAATATCCTAACCAATTTCATCCTAACAAATCTGACATTCTGGTTCTTTTTCCAATGGTGACACATCTGTACAATTGTTTGAACTGACAATTATGGAATCTGCAGTTGCTTAGAAATGGCTCCAAGAGACCTTCCCAACTTGCGTATCCATCCATTCTCTTCCTTCCTTCCTTTTAACCAATTCAGGGAACCAGGAGGGCTGAAACCTATCCCAGTTACCATAGGATAGAGGCGGGGTACACCCTGGACAGGTTGCCAGTCTGTCGCAGGGCTAACACAGAGAGACAGACAACCATTCACACTCACATTCACACTTACGTGCAATTTAGACTCATCAGCTAACCTAACCCCACTAACTGGACTGTGGGAGGAAGCCGGAGTAACCAGAGAGAATCCAAGCAGACTTGGGGAGAACATGCAAACTCTACACAGAAAAATGGTTGATTCAAACCCAAGACCTTCTTGCTACAAGACAGCAGTCCTAACTATCTCGCCAACAGCTGCCACTCCAACTTATGTAAATCTACAAGTCTCTTCAGTGAGTTCCTTGAATTTTCCAGTTGTTCTGAGTATTCTGAGTCAGTCCAATGAGTGCTGTCAAACAAATCCTTTTTATGCTGCAAAGATAAACTCCCTGCTGCACCCAATCATAATCCCTAATGAGGAGCTAATAGGCCTTAGCTTTGTTAAGACGTTGTAGAACCTGCAGCACATGACTGTTCTTTAGAGTAATTAAAAATGGATTCCATACAATCGTTCCACCCTTAAAACAAAACAGCTCAAAGAAACCATTAAAAGCCCAAAACTAGCATCACAGCCATGCCCTTGATGAGCAGATGTAAACTCCTCACCACAGCTGTATGTGGCTGCAGAGCATCAATCTGACAGGCCACGCCACTAAAATGCTCCTTATCTACTAAAAAGATAAGGAGCACGTGAGAGGAGATGGATTACAGACAAATGCACCAGTGTTGAGACACCAAACACTTACTGGAAAGATATGGTTTGTTTGTTTTTTCATATTTGGCCATTTTACCTTCGGCCATCCTGGAATGAGTCTGCTGCAAAGATCAGAAAAGCTGCAGTGGGCCAGGACGTGACATAAATAATGACGCAGGAAGAACAGCTGAGGATAAAAATAAGTGATTTTCTCTGTAATATCTTCACACACACATAAAGACTGCTTCATGTGACATCACAGTGACGTGTATGTGAGTCATTGTGCCACGCTGGCTGGAGCACCACGGGATATCCGCCCCTCCGGCTGCTGGGGAGGGCAGATTACTGGCTCACATGCTCAGAGTACTTCGGGGGTCACATGTCTCATCTGCTGGATTCAGTTTGCCACAAATGATACTGTAGAGCAGAGGCATGTTTTAAAGAATTCCCCGCCAGTGGTCAAGGCATAAATGGATCTTTAGATCAGTAATGTAAGAGAGAGCGGCCAGTAAAAGCAGTTAAATGAGCTACTGTAAGTAGAAATAAAACGAAGGGCTATTACAGAGAGTAGAGACACAGGAAATGATTCAGCGGGAAGAAGATGACGACAGCTGCTTCTTGAAAACCCATGGTTTCAGTCGGAGACTGCAATGACTTGGCATTTCAGCCAGTAAAGATACAGTTTATGCTTTCAGCTGTGAGTTTGAGTGGTCACTTCATGAAAGACAAAGCACAAATCCTGTGGGAAAAATCTGGTTTAAACCACAAGTTTCCACTCTGCATCCCATGTGACCAATCCTCCTGTTTCAGAGCTGAGTTTATGACACTCAAATCATGTAACTGGTCACAGGAAAGCCTTTATAATACCAAATGATGTACTAGGGGTGCAATTTTACAGCGGGCAGAACAGCTGAAACAACCAATCAACTAAATGGCTGGTGATTCATCTGCAACAATGGCAGTTTAAGTCAATGTATTATGTAAATGTGTAAAGAAAAGCCTTCAAAATGTATTATTTCAAAACTAGCAACACTGAGTATCTGAGCTAGGAATCTAAGAAGGTCATGTTCCAGATTTCTGAACATTTTTAACTCCATAGACGTCAAAAATAAGAAAGTAAATCATTAATGAAAGTTCTACACAGCATGACTGTTAAAAATCTGTTATTTTCATTATCAGTTAGCCTGCTCTTAGCTGCTGAGTCATGTATGTTATCCATGTGGATTCAGAGGCAGACCCAGCTGCTGTGGTACCACTGCTGGCCACACCGGCTGCAGGTCACAAAGGTCATTGCATCCTCGTCTGGGCCGCCCTGCCTCACCCACGCAGGCAAGAACAGAACCCCTCTGGACACCTGCGTCACCCTACAGTCGGACCCCCCGCATCTTTTGCAGCGAATCTTCTCCGTCCGCGTCCCCTCTATCCCTTGAGGAAGCTGCCTCTCACTCACGCCCTGGGAGGAGTACTCCTCCCTCAGCTGCCGCAGCTCTGCGCTGGCCATATCCTCCGCAGACATGCGGGCGAAGGCCTCGGGGGACAGGGAGCCGCTCAGGAGGCCCTGATGCAGGTGGCCGCTTTTGGGATTCCTCAAGTTGGCCACCTTGCTCCTCACACAGGCTTTATATTTGACCTGGTTGTGTTTATGAAGTTCGTGGACGTGCCGCTCGATGTCTCGCGCCAACTCAGCAGCCTTGTGCTGATCGGGGGCAGAGGGGCAGAGGGCAGCAAGGAGGAGCTGCACGCATTTGGTCCTCACGTTATCTGGAGATGAAGCAGAAGTATGAGCTTTGGGTCCAGGTTTAGCCTGCATAGATGACTGTTCTCCTGCAGCATTCCCCTCTCCACCATCACATGTTTGGGCAACAACCGCACCACCCACGGCCTCTTTTGGTAAAGAAACACCGGCAGGGAGCTCAGGATCCTCACTCTCCTCTGTGCACTTCACCCCTTGCCTGTCCTTCGTGTACTGTCTCTTCCACTTGGACAGCAAGCTCTTGACTGTCTTCTTCACGCTGTCATCATTGCAGGTTCTCAGGAGCCTGTAGAGCACTTTGACGATGTCCGTTGTTTCCAGCTGTTCCGCTGTGACGTGAGACTTCTGGAGGTCACCAAGGAGGGTCATGATGTTCCCATAGCTTCTGTCTGCACTGAATTTCTCTATCTGAAGAGCACAGCGGAGCATCTCCTTTGGATCCATCGTGGCTGCAAAGACACAAAAGCAAAGATGAAACAATGAATGTTTTTTTCTTAATGTGGTGATGTTTGCCCCTCACTGCAAAATGAAGCAGTGCTCTCCTGAAAGCACAGCAGTATGTACCACTTAGAAACACATTAAAATAGACTTTTGCACGTGTTTACCTGAGTTCCTTCATGGTTTGCAGTTTCTTCCTGCTAACAGTGAACCTAGCAAACGTCTACACGGGAGCAGCCATGTTGAATGTGTCTTCACGGGAGAAAAATGCCAGCATTCACCTCTAGATGGAGCTGTAGCCTCACAAAGAGAGGGTAGTGCAGGTAGTTTCCCATCAGTTTCTTAAAATGGAACTATATGTATATGTATGTATGCAATCTTTTTTCCCTAAAAACAGGGATTGATGCAATATTATAAATGAAACCTCTTTGCAATGAAAGTGACCCTGAATCCCCGAATCATCCTTTGAGTACACTGTGGCCTGTTTAATCTGAAAGTATCCCAGCAGAGCCTTCCAGCTGTGCTGTCAGTCTGTGATTTATCTAAAATGTACTGTGGGATTAGTGCTTTATGTGAGGATTTAGGCGTGTGCTTTTGGATTTTGCAGGTTACTCCCATGGCCAAACTTCTGTCTATTTTAACGCCTCTTTCCTGTTTTTCCCACAATAACAAATGTGGATGAACCTGCGCTAAACCACACGAGGAGCTGAGGGTGTTGTCCAGACAAAGTGTTCGATTTCAAATGTGTGTTGCATTAATGGCTATTATTATAGCCTTGTGTTCCTTCTTTTCAGCCCCTGAGATCGAGATGAAAGATATTTGGTTCGGCGTGCAGAAACGTGTAATCCTTGCATCCAAGCAGCCAAATGACCTGCAGACAGGAATTTAGTGGAACACATCTCGTGACAAGATGAGGCAAGTCTTTCAGCTGTGCTGCAATTACATGTTGTGATGGAAGAAGATGATTGAGTGTTTAGGATAATTCATGGTTGTGGAGCTAAGACCAGAAACGTTCCAGCGGACGTATCCGTTCGCACGTAGTTGTTAGTATTTCGTGGAAACCTGGAACATGGTTTGATGTAATCACACCATCGACGGTGACGTGAATGAGAGAAAAATGGAGGCTTAATTGCATGGCTGAAAGGTTGATTATGTATTAATTGGATGTTGTCTGAATGGGAGCATATCTGAATATTGACAAAACAATTCAATAATACCTTTAGGGATTTATGGAGTGTACGGAAATTGCTGATGTGATGAGGGAGGCTGATTTAGTCTGTGTTTGTTTTTTAGACAGTTTGCCTATTTTGCTGCTTTATTCCCTTTTTCCCAACAGCACGGCATATTCATCATCATTTTTTGTTTCCAAACATGCAGCACTGACTCACTCGAACACACTCATACTAACTACTAAAATAATATAACGAAAAGGAGTTCGTGCTTTTCATGGTGAGCAAAGAAGACCAAATGTAAACTCACCGCTAGGACTGGTTTGGACCCTCTTTTGGCTTCAGAACAGCCTCAGTTCTGTGTTGCACAGATTCAACAAGCTGGTGGAAACATTCCTTAGAGTTTTTGATCCATATCGACATGATAGCATCATCCATTTGTTGGCTGCACATGGCTCCGTGATGTGAATCTTCTGTCTAACCACATCTCGTTGGTGCTGCATTACGCTGGGATCTCATGACTGTGAAGGATATTTGTAACACAGTGTTTAATCCTGGAAGCAGCCAGCAGGAGATGGTACACTGTGGTCATGACAGCATGAACATGGTCAGCAGCAACACTCAAGTAGACTGTGGTGTTTCAATAAGGCTCAGTTGGTACTCAAGGGTCGAAAGGCCTGCCAGGAAAATATCCCCTACACCGTTACACCAACACCAGCAGCCTGAACTGAGGCTGGATGTTGTTTATGCTAAATTCTAAACGCTGGAGCAGAAACGTTTGGTGAACTTGTGAAAATCTTAGACTCAGTTTTCTGTTAGCTGGCAGGAGTGGCGCCGGGTGTGGTCTGCTGCTGCTGTAGCCTTTTTCTTTTACCTTTACATTCAGAGATGCTGAGATGGTTGTAATGAGTGGTTATTTTAGTTACTGTTGCCTTTCGATCAGGTCAAAGCAGTCTGGTCATTCTGACCTCAGCCATCAGCAAGGATCTGAATGCACAACACATCAAACCTTGAAGTAACAGAAGACCACACCCAGGGTCGCCGAGGCTACGATTTACAAACGCTCACCAAAAATTGGACATTAGAAGATTGAAAAAACGTTGACTGATTTGTCTCAATTTCTAACGCAACATTCAGATAGTAGTACACATTTGGAGTAAATAACATGAAAGCATGGATCATGCAGGCCTGTATCACCAGTTGGTGGTGTAATGGTGTGGGGGATATTGTAGAGACGATTATAGCGACTTATCTTGCAACATAAGGCTAAAGGTAAGCACAAAAATAAACGATGTCAAGAGGCATTCCTTTACACAAGAAACAAATCATAAAACCCTCTACGTTTTCAAAATCTTAATTATAAGGACAAATGTTTTTGTACAGTCCTTTATAAGTTACTTGAGAATATATGTATTTTTCTGCCCATGTAGGAAGTATTATTTTCACATCTGAGGTGCTGGTTTCAACAAATTTGGCGATAGCTGCAGTGGCAGAAGTTGTAAAGCCTTCCACGACTCCTTTGACTGTGAATTGCATTCATAAATTAGAGATAAACAGAAACCACGAGCTGCCTTTATATCAAAATGAGCTTTTTATTCACTGAAGCACTTTTAATAGTCCTGCCAAACCATATATGTTATTATTCACACAAAAGCCCAGATGAAATGTAATTAGACGAGCAGGGCGCCATTATGCAACTGCTGGTGTGACATCACCCTCCTGATCTTACATTAAAATGTGCTTTCAAGATTCACGCAGCTGGGGCCGATAGCAGTGCAGGCCTCAAGGGAAAATTGATTTGGCGTCTCTTCGCATAAAAGCTTCTGGTTCTCAAGTTCAAAGAGCTGCTTTTAAAACCCCAAATGGAAGTTAAAGCTTCCAGGAGGCTTTTAGCAGCGTTAATGTTTAACTTTTCTTCTCTGGCTTGAGGAGTTTTCTTTGAGCGTGTGAGGAAATGTGCCGTGTGGGATATTCGAGGTTCTGTGAGCGAGCTTTCTTTTGTTAAGTGCATTTTGTGAACTAAAACTCCAACCTTTTACTCAAGCAGAAGGATCCTGAGTGTTGACCCCCTCCGAGGTTTGGATTGAGATGGGTGGGGTCCGGCTGAGCCATCAGTGGATACGTGTAAAACTCCTCTTTCTGTGGTTAAATACATTAAACCTGCTAAATTTTGAACCCTCAAACACATGCGACTGATTTCCATCACAAGAGTCACAAGACTCCTTGCATCTTATCAAGTCATATCAGTGCGGCCTGCTTGCACTTGTGCACTTTCTTATCAGTGGGAATGGAATTTTACCAGCACGCAGCTGCTGTGACAGCCGAGCGCCGAGAGGTGGCGCTCTCTGCACTGCGCTGGTTTGAGCCCTATGAGGAAGTGGAGTCCTGCTGTATCACATCCTGCTCTTGTTGTCCCCGCCTTCTAGATGGCGTGTACGCATGAGCGCACACACATACGCGCACACACTACCCCGCCCTGAGCTTGAGAAATTCTGAGGAGGAGCAAGGCCTTCTTGTTAGAGTGATCAGCTTTTTCATGGTCAGACATTCATGACAACATGGTAAGTCCCTGCACCCGCAACCACGACCTGCAAATACTCCCAACGCTGCCAAGTGCATGTGTGACAGACAACAAAGTGAAAAAGTGTTCAAAGCAATCGTGAGTCACATGCTGCTGAGTGAGTGTCAGTGCAATGATAAACCTTGTTCTTCACAGGGTGAGAGGAGGTTAGAAAACAGGAAGAGCTACGCATATTTGCTTTTTCTTGGCAGAAGTCTGATCGGACTTTTCGGTGGAGGAAGAGGAAATGTTTTTTTGTTTTCTTCCCATTTTTGACATTCCAAAGGAAAAAAATGCGAACTTTACCACAAACAGCAGCATATTTATTGTTACCTATTTGTTTAAAGTGAAACGAGTTTTATCATGTAATGCTCTATAATTAGAGTGCTTTGCCTTTCAGATGTTATTAAATATGATGAAAATGATGTGTTTTATTTATTTATGTGATCTCTCTGTAAAAGCACATGCGACAGAGACTGTGGGGTTTTTATGCTGTGAGAGCAAAGTCAACTCTTATTTTGGATTCTGTTTGTTTTGCCTCAGGGTTCATTCTGTTTCGTCTGAAGCGCTGCAAAGATTTTTCTTCTGTTTGTGTGTGTGTGGGAGGGGCAGGAGTAAGGGGGGGGGGTTAATAAATGTTATAAAGAGGCAAAGTATAGACAAAGTGTTGTTTTTTTAGCTTGTGCTTATTTGGAGTCCTGCAAACCCCGAAGCAGGAAATGAGCCTCCCCAAACATGAAACCACTAAGAGCACAGTTGCTATGTCTTCTCTTGCTGATCATGAAAATTTTCCCATTTGATTAAGAAAAAACCCCTCTGTTTCATCAGAAGCAATGAGGAAGTGCAGACGATTGTGACTTGTTTGTGCTTTGCTCAACAGCAGAGTCAAAGCAGAATCACGAGACTCACTCGAACCCTTTTCTTGATTATGGTGAAACAATGCTGTGCAAGGTACTTTTTTAAGCAACTCAATTTCATAGCGTCTCTTGGGATGTGACGCAGCACTTGATAGCAGTTCAAAGCAGACTTGGGGGCTCAAACTGTGCACTCTGAAATAGTTTCATTAAATTGTTTCCTTTTGTATAACTGCCTCTGTTAACCCTTTGTACCAAAGAGAAAAATTTAGCATTGATTTTGCTATTCTGATCCTCTGAGGGTTCAACCATATGTTTCCTCCCCTGTACAAATAATTATCCACATTGATTCATCACATTTGTTTTCCCATGAACGCCCCCTTCCTCTCTCTCCCACACACACACACACCAACTGGACGCATGCTCTGCCTTATGGGAAATCCACCAGCCGGTGGGCCCGGGTTACAAATAACCACATCCTCCCCACGTTGCTCACAGTTGTGCAGCATCCACTGGACTTTTGTAATGTGATCACAGCGGAGGTCTGAGGCTCAAAGTGTGCACAGGTGTGAGGTCCTGCTCTTTGCTTTGGTTCAGCTGCGTGTGACATCAATTACACTCAAATTTAAGACACACACCAAAAGACGAGTCTAAGGGATTCA